TGATCGCAATTTCTTGCATGCCCACGGGTGTTGGCGTTGTAAATCCGCCTCTGTCCCCGGGTGTTAGGGCGAGGGAGGAAATTTGTCGAGGATCCTTCGTGCGATAGCCATCCGGATAAATCGGCCCCACTCTTTAATTCATCTTCGTTACGCGCGTCAATCATCCGGCCACATTTCCTTCGCGCGCCTTCATTTTTCATCTTTTTTCCGGCGCGACCCGATCGATAAATTACGGCGCGACACTCGGCAGTTCCGCTCCTTTGACATATTTTTATCATGCGCGAAGGAGTCAGCTATCAACGCGGAAGCTTGACGCGAGGATTTTTGCGCGGAATACTTCCGCTCGCACTTTTCACGCTCCACAACATTTTCACACGCTCGCTCGCTTTTCTCTGGAAAAACCGAACGTTTCTCGCTATACGAATACGAGGCCACACGGAAAAATTCAAATTCCAGCAGCCTCCGCGCCGAGGGACGGGAAATTAAGTTTCGCGCATTTCGGCATCAGCTTTATTACATCGCGAAAATGCATACGGTATTGTGAGCGAAATGCTAGAACGCCCCGGGGGATGCGCCGATGTCGTATTTTCTTCTCCTTCAAACCGGGCCTTAGTTTTCGGCTTTCAATTTTTCAATTTGTCGGGTTTGTCGACGCGGCGGGCACTTTGTAGCGCGCGCGGCAGACTATATCGTTTCGCACGATCGCTTAATTCGCGTTCCCGCGCGGTATGCAGTCGCGCGCACACCTGTTGGCACATAGCTGGTTTCCGGTGGCGTAGAGAGCCGGTTTTGCAGTTTTACGATTGCGATGACGCGCTCTATAATCTCCAAGATATCACACATTCAAAAAATCGATCAACCATGATCCGCCGATTCCCGCTGAGCGTTCATACGCGCGGCTGTTCGCAACGGTATTAAGACCGTTGGTATTATCGCGCAGTAAAAGCCAGCACTCGACGTTTCCAGTTTCGCGATGCATTACGACAGGCCTCGTATCGTTAAATGTGTTGCTCGCTACTCCCGCCTCGTCGTAAATCGGAGAACTTTGTGCACTGGCGCGCGCGTCGACACACACGCGCGGTGTCGTGTGTCCAAAAGCCTTGAGGCTGAGCAAACAAGACAAAAACAAATTGCCCATAGGGAAATTTAATTACCACTCTCTCTTCGAGGTATCCTTCTCTCGGAACGCAAACAGCGGACGCAAAGTTGTTAACGCTCGTTGTTACACGCGCGATCAGTTGGCCTCTAACATCATTTTGTTGAGATTAACATTTTGATTAGTAACAAAAGAAGATATTTGTTGGGGCAAAAGGTGTGTGTTGTAGTAGCAGAAAACAAGAAAGGAGATTACATAGTTATAAAAAAAATTTGCTAATGAAATAAAAATATATGACGATAAATATATTCCCGATACAAATAAAAAATTTCATTTAAAAACTTCTTGAAACTTTTGTGCTTTAAAAGTAAAAGAGATTACATTTGCGTCTTGAAGAGCAAAGAGAAATTCCTTGTGGCAGTAGAATTACTTTTATATAATCGTGTGTCTGCCAAATGTATCGCGACTCTCTCTTTTGCAGGAGATTAAAAATAAATATCAAATCTAATTGTAAATGTTACCGAACACTTTTCAAGAGTGCTTAATTAGCTTATAAGCAATTCCCAATTCGTCTCTTTTTCGCCCACAATTAAGTAACAAGTTTACAATCTTCGCGGACGACTTGTCCGAGATGAAGAAGCTTTTAGCACCGATGTTCAATGTATCTTTTATTTATTTATGCTAACCAACTCACCGCGGGCACCCGCTTTGCCTTCAAGTTCACGGTTTTAAAATTTCATATCGGGTACATCGTAGTACACACATTCTCCATATTGATATGTATAGAGTGATGCACTTTACTCTCTTTGGTCGAAACGCTTTTCATTTCCTGTCGAGGATACAGCTGATGTAAAAAAAGCTCTCTCTCTCTCTCTGCGACTCTCGAGAGGAAACGTAGCAACTTCTTTATTTTATCGGCTCATTTTTTTCTGCATCTTTGTAACATATTCTTCCGTATCGTCACATCTGCTTTTGATCTTGCATTTGATATAGCTTTTGCTATCGATCGTGAAAATTGTTAATGGAAAGAAATAGAATGAATAAAATGTGCAACGTATTTTTGCAAATAACGTCTGGATTGTTAAAGGTAGATGTCATTTCTCAATAATAAAAAATTTTGTTATAACCACTCACGTAATTCTAATAGGCAAATTGATTAATGTATTTAATCTACATTCATTCCATTATTTGTGCTATCTCGCTCGGCATGAGCTCCACATTTTATTTCTCTCTGCTCGCGAGACGCGTACGTCAAACTTTACTGTCGCGAAATTTCATAACCGCAAGCTGTTATATTATATCGCAGGTCGACGTGACGGAGGCAAATTATCTCAGAAGGTGATCCTCATAGATATTCACTGTCAGTTGCAAGCAAACGTATTCGTGGTAACTTAATCTCTCGCCGATCGTAACCTTTTAACTGCCTCTCGCGCTTGTTTCATCTACGCCCATTTAATTTTGACTTTTACACCATTCGCCCTGTCTTAACGCGAGATTTTTATTCCGCCACGGTGTAACACTCGCTTCTTTGCCGTTCCTCCTCCCTCATCCGCCTACCGGAACGTAATAAATCCCAGCCATCCCGCACTCTGCTCTCCTACTCGTTGCGCACTCTCGTCCTCCCTCTTTCTCGATCTTTTCTTGACTCAAGCCCCTTAGCCACCCTCGTTTGACCACCCCTCTATCTCTCTCGCGCCGTTTGCACCCCCGTTGAAGTCGTGATAACCGAGTAGGAACGGCGAAACGTAATTAGAAAGAGCGCAATTTTTAAACCGTTTCTTTCATTCTTCGCCCTTGCGAGAGAAGGTCGTTCGTAGTTTTTCACTCTCGCTTAGAGTACGCACTTGGATCGGGGACCAAAAAGTGAGAGAGAAGAAAAAAATCATCAAAAAAATGGCATGAAGAGAGATGGAAAACGGCCATTTGGAAATTGCGAGAGCTATCAGATACTTCGGTATGGAACAGCAGAGGAAACTTTGGCGGAGAGACGGGCTTGTAGCTGGCTACGTACGCTATACATACAGCAGTGATTCTCATATTACTGTTTGCGTTTGAATACCCGTCAACTGGAAATAACATTTTTTTGGGACGTTTAGATAGCGCCCCATTACTTTATTTCCAACAACAAAGAACATTGACGCGAGAAAGATTTTAGACCGTTTTGAAAACTTTTTCTGTACAAATTATTTTTTACCGAAATTTCATGAATCTTTAACTAACACACAACTTTTACTTTATTCATAAAATCGAAATTTCTTAAGATCCAAAATTTTCGGAAATTAAAAGAATGTGTTACATACGATTTAAACGAGACAACGAGGCGCATCGTGATTGCACATCGGGCGTGTAGGTCCGTTAAGAAACGTTATCGTTTCCCAGACGCCGCTTCCACGATGAATTATGCAAGTTACGCGTATTCTTATTACGCGTTGGTTGTTTTTAGAGCGCATTATCCCGAGACGCGTCATAAAACTTGCGCTTTATCGCGCACCGAATTATGCCGCGCCGTGAATGCGGAAAGCTTTAAATAAATTTATGCATCTCGCGGCCGGGATATTAAAGTTTGAGAACCCCTATGAGTTATACACCGTCTGCGCCGTACGCATCTTCGGCTGTTATGCTTCGTGATAGACCCATTGAACTATATATATATACCTTAGCCGGCGGGCATAACGACGACAGTCGACTCTCGAATCCGGCTGTTAAAGACGGACAGCGAGGAAAGCGAAACTATCATCTACTTTGATTGGCGTTCTGTATCAAGCCCGGATTTGTAATTTGTACAGTCGTGTATATTCATAGCGGGCAAACGTCATGTTATCAGTTGGCGAGTGTCACTTTTGACATCGTATCAGTCTTTTATCGATGGCAGTAATTTGCAGGAATATCGAGTGGCGTTAAGCACGTTATTACAAGTAATAATTTAAACAACGATGTTTTGTTTGCGATATGTTAGCCGCACAATTCTCGGTGAAAACTAACCCTTCCGATTGCAATCCTATCTACGCTGGATTATTTCACGTAATTACAAATTATTGCCGTGCGTAGTTGCGTTTCAGGCTGCGTTTACCCGTGGTGCGTTTAATCATATCTCGCTCGGCTGCAATGAGAATTTTAGTAGCTTATAATGATCCTTGCAAAAGTTATTATTACTTTATTTCCCGTTGCTGAAAAATTATTCAGTAATTTATTGGATTAATAAAAATCATAATGTCCGTTTAATAAAGTTTAAAAATGTTTAACACCGTAGCGTGCTGTAAAAAATAACACGGTTATCCGAAACAATAAAGCACACAAGTATGCGCGCACAGAAATTATCTCATATTACATTTTAATTATGACAATTAAATTTGAATAATATAACTGAATAATATAGCTAATATAGCAGTATCAGTTTGCTCAACGCAAACAAACGGTTCAACAATTGACATGAGCAGATTGAAAAATGAAAATTTTACATTTTACGTTACTCTTCATAATGGACAAGAGCATACACATATTTATAACGCATTAGTCAATCAACAAATATTTTCATGTGTCGTGTTCGCTGAACGACAATTTAATACGCATATAACATATAAATGCAATCGGATTTTCATCACGGTTTTAGCGCTTAAGGGGCTTTCACGAGCGAGACCGATTCTCGCGAGTGGCCTTTCACAGTCTTTGCGGCTCTTTCGAAGCGCGTGCTTAAAATACAGCGCGGTAGTTAGTATCTTTAGTAGCGAGTAAAAAGGAAGTCGTCGCGCGGAGAGAGTAAGAGAGAGAGAGAGAGAGGAGAGGAACAAGGAGGATCGCTTTTATCCTTTAAAGTGGATGTAGCAGAAGAGGACAGTGTGTGTTCGGGGGGATCGCGGTATATTCGTGCGCTGGCAGCTCGCATAAGTGTAATGAAAGCACTCACCCTCTTGCCTCAGCAGAATCACGAGCAGCAGCAGCACAAAATCCATCGCTCGGCGGCGCTCGCGCACCCTCCGGTCCACGGATTCGACTCGTAATTCTCGCCCAGCTTCTTCGATGAGCTGCGATCACGCTGACGATTCTCTTCTTCCTGGTATCAGAGAGATGTTGCGTGATAGTACCGATGGGGGGGAAAAATAAACAAAAGCACTGTGTATCCGCAAGCGTCAGACGCGGCAGACGGCGTTCACTAATGAACACCTAGCACCGGTTCGCAACGATTATTAAAGGATTAATTTCTTGCAATTTGCATTTATCGATCTTGTTAATGTAATTGTTTGAAACGCGCGCGCTCAAAATTTTAAAACGACGCTCTTCAATCGGATTTTATAATAATTCAGAATTCTAAATAAGGTGGATCAATGTGGATAATTGCATAATAAAAACCCGATAGTCGTCGCTCTTCGTAATTTTGTTAGCTCTTAATAATTTTCAGTTAATGAATCGAATATCCATTATTTTTTATTTCGCATAAATCATTATAATCTCATTTTCGTAGATAATTAATCCGATTTGGGTCACTGTAGCCGGATCTCATTTATGCAGAACTTCTAACTACCCCGCTTGAACTTAATCGCCGCCAACGCATCGCTTCGGAGGCGCGATCGCTGCACGGTGCGTTCGGGAAAGAGTCGCGCGCGGACGAGCAAGTCCGTGCCGTAACGATAAAGACAATCGCGGCAATTGATAGCAAAAACGAAAGACGGAAGAAAGGAAAGAGACGGGCGTGAGCTCATCAGGCACGCGCGAGAATGCCCATCGCGCCGGTCTTAATTACCGGCTGTATTCTTCGTTATTCCACTGTCAATTAAATTTAATGATTGCCGCAGGTTATTGTGTTTTCATTGTGTGTCCGGCGCATGGAAGAGCCGTATATATACGCAGTTGGCGGCAACTCCCTTATATTCCGCATGTACGTTTACTCACGACCTCACTTACGTGACACGGCGTGTACCCTATCCAAGGCATATTCCGACTGGCTGTCGGCCGAAAAACGAGACACCCGAGAAAACCCGAATTCCGTATCGACATTACCAATGTCTTCGTCGTATATTCTTGTGAAAACTGGCCTCGCGCGACGTTTTACTTTTTGCACCGTCAGTTGAAAATTTTTTACGATTTTAGGTCCTTTTTCCTTATATTTCTTTCTCTGTCTCTCTCTCTCTCTCCCTCTCTAGTCCGTAAGGTGCTAAAAGCGCTCGCTCAGTAGCGAGTCGAGTGCTCTTCATCTCCGAAGCTTTCGGTCGAGAAATTCCGGTAATTCCACATGGCCCACTACTTAACTGGATTTCCTCGTCGCGAGCAGTTGGAAGTCAAAGCGCAACACCTTTTAATTCGCGTTTGCGAGGGAAATGAACGATGTTTCTCAGAGGCCTGCCGCCGTGAAAGCTGAACCCGAATTAATGAGCGAGCATTTTAGCGAGATAAAAAATTGCTGAGGCACGTGAATGCAACAAGATGGCGACGTAATATCCAAAAATAGAGACAGACGATCAATTCCTTTTCCATTTGCACTCCCCGGGCGCCGGCGAGCTAATCTCATTAATAATTACCGCCTGTCAAGACAGCTGGAAGACCGCCGGGGCAGTCGCGAGTGCATTTCGACTCCAGGCCGCGTAGTACCCCCGAATGAATTTATAACGAATTTCAGGAATAATCTCGGGGCCGAGCGGACGGGAAATCTCGAGCGAGCTCTTGTCTGAATAGCCCGAATCAGTCGAGAATACTCGGCGATTTGACGGGGTTTCCAATGGGGTGGGACGGTGGCGGGCGGCGGAAGGGAGAAGAAAGGGATGCGGAGAAAAGAGATGAAACTGCCGCGCGACTGCTCCCCTACATACGGACGTTGGATGCGGATTTTAAATGCAACTTGTTGCGAGTTTGCGCCGCGAGTCCCGAGCGTCGTCGTCCGGCGTCGAGATGCCGGCCACGCGACGATGCGAACGCTCCTAAGAGAAAGTCGTCGTCGGCGCGGCGGTACGCGTGTTTCGCCAATCGATCGTCATAGACGGAAACAGAGGGAGAGCGAGAGAGAGAGAGAGAGAGAGAGAGAGTGACGGGGATAAACGCAGGTTCCGGTTTGCCGATGCACAACAGCCGCTGCTAACGAGCGCGGAGATGGAACAGGATGTTGCTATTTGTCGAACGGGACTGACCCGATGCCTAACTTCGGAATAGTGATTTGTGTTTATAATTGGGATGTATCTTGGGAGAATTCTGTTTGCCTGCCGTATCGGCCGTTTATCTGAATCGCATGTGCACGATGTATCGGAAATCAGTCGCATTTCTTCCTCAACACCATAGCACACCATAGCACGGATATTCAAATTCGAGCTAATCTGCTAAAATAGCGTTACATATTTCGATCGAGATACGGTTGATCCAGAATCACGCGATTAGAAATTAATGGAAATACCATTTTCGTGCTCTAAATACACATTTCATATTATTGCTCGATATTATCAAAGTTCGAAATTGATCGAGTTATGATTGTCAAAGTATATCTTTTCCAAATTCGCGAATAAGTACGAGCAGCTTTTCACATGTATTATATATTCACTTCTTTTCCTGACCTTTCGTCTATCGGAAGCATCGAGTTGCGAAAATACATTGGAAACTCCGAAGAAAAAAATTTAACGGGTCGAAACAAGATTACGAAGTTTACACGGCACACGATATCGATGAGGGGCTGCGAGCGGAACGAAGCGGGAAATATTGTTCTCTCTCGCGGTACACGTCGTGCGGTACATTCACACGCGATTTTTCTCAAGGGCTACGGACAGCGGCCCGCCTCGCCTCGGCGGTCGTAAATGATTCCGAGTTCGAGAGTTCGAAAGGTCGGTCCGAAACTCGCACGAATTGTGGCGCCGCATAGTTTATTTATTCGGCGAAGACTATTCTCGTTCCTCGTCTCGTTTCCCTTCGTGGATGTTGCCCACGTGCGCCGGCGACCAGGCGCGTAACACAATCCTACACGCGACGTTCGTTTCGACTGTGTGCAATATCGCCTACAAAAATCGATTTGTCAGCGGATATTCCCCTTCGGATACATTCGTATAAGGAACGGCGAGCCTGCTCGTTCATCCTTGACTTATTCACACCGCAGTACTTTTGTTGTAGTATCTATATCGACTCTTCTTTCCGGCCCTCTCTTCCACGCTCCAACTGATTCACTATTCCTGAGAAAATTCTTCCGCCAGCGGAATTACGATATGAATAAACGAAGAGGATTTTATCGCCTAGGATCGTCGTCCCCTTTGCGATCGTGCGACCGAAGTTACAGCCGTTGAGCCTAGTATTAAAAAAAAATTTCTTCGGCAATGTGAAATTTACTATTGTCAATAAGAGCTTAGCATTTCCCTCCCGATTCAACATTAATTCTTTCTAAGGTTGTATCGTTTAACCATCGTTTTACTTTCCGGCTTATTTCCGCGCGTATTAAACGAATGTTCTATAAATATGAAATCCTCAGCAGAAGAAGAAGAATATTTTAACTTGATACATTTTCAACCTCGTAGATCCATTAATAGTTGTACTAATATTTCATCTCGATTCTAAGTTAACGCGATATATCTGTATCTCGTCAATCCTAGCGTTCTGAATATCTCGTGCACCCGATCCTGCCGATTGCTAATTTCGCTCGCGCGCGATTTCCACCGCAGTCGCGTTATGGGAATATTTGCCGGTGTCACCGTCGTCGATTCAATCGTCGTTTCGATCTCGTCGCTCTCCACAACTACCATCTGCCATCGTTCTCGTTCTCGAACGCGAAATTCGAGTCCCGCTATGCGTTATTCTCTTCATTGCTCCTTTTTCCCCGGGAGCTCTCTCCGCCGCTCGCACCATCGATATCTGCATTGATGCACGCTCGATGAAATCGCGCGATCACTCAATATCAAAATCGGAGCCAATGCGTAGCGCGCCTCCGATTTCCGGCACAGCTAGTCTAGTCATAATCGGTTGATCGTTCAATTCTATCTCGGCGCTAGGTAGCGAATGACGCTTGCTCTACGCTCTTTATCGCTCTATCGTTCTGCTTGATTATAGGCTCCACAATCAAACCCTCGCACCCACCTTTGATCCCGGTTAAGAGAGACTTCCCGCAATTCTGCCGGAAACACGAGGGGGCGAACTTCCGCTTCGATAATCGCGTCTCGGAGCCGCACAGCGTTCGCACTCGTCGAACGGATATTCCGTCGTTTGTATCCGTACGACTTAATAAATTCCGATGCTCTCGCGCGAGTGAGCAATCCCAGCGTTCCGATGTCATTCCACAGTGAAGCATCGCTTCAATATTTCATCAATATTGCTTCTGCGAAGACCGCAAAAAGAACCGCGCAAGAATTGAATAGTTATAAAAAGAAGCTTGTAAAGTTTCTTCTGTTGTCGGAAACGCGAGTTTCTGAACAGCGGCGGATCCTTGTTGCATTAATGATTAATCGAGCTATGTCAATTGAACGGAATGAGCGATGAGCTTTATGTCAACCAAGCGTATCTGCATGGATCACTACTGATTTGCATAATTCTCTAGATAAAGGAGAGAGTTCGCGTTCGCGTGTACGGCAGTATGATCGACATGTTATTTCAGGTCTTCGATCGATCGAAATTTTGTTTGAAATCGCGTTTATTTCGAATTGCATGCGTTAATTTGCACTGTTCGCTGGCTCGTAGCATACTGCATCGTAGCCTACGTGATTCGCATAATTCTGTGTATATGTTATGTGTTACGGCGGAATATTTAGATGCATTAACTTGTGTACTATTCGCAAGCGAAATTCCGATCAGCCGAAATTTTGTGAAACCGCGTTTATTTTCGATTAATTCACCGTTGTCGAGTCGAACCTATGATTCTCCCTCTCTGCTATGATTCCCATTCTCCGTATAAAGAGATATTCCGGTTCAATGTATTATGTGACAGCGCGATGGACCCGCGAACCCGCGCCGCTGGCGATCGTGCCTCCGATCGATCCCGAAATTTATAACGTGACCGCATTTGTTTGTAGCGCGGGCACGTTAATTCGCGTTCGTCGGGCGATTTGAGGCCGTGTCGGCGTTACCGCGGTTTTCAGCCTACCTTCACGGCCCGACACG